ATTTCTCTAGGTGCCAACAACCGCGAAGTAGTTACTTCTATCAATGAGCTTCTTGACTTAGAAACTGATAGAGCTATGGCTATGCTTACAAATTTAGCGGCGGTCAAACCAATGCAACAAAGTGAGATAAATGAGTTGGGTATGTGTGAGTTGGAGGGTTTATGCGAAGATCTAGTTCCTACAAACCTTCTACATGAGGAGACATTGGAAGAGGAGGGGCATGCGGCCTCTCTGTCTTCACATGTAGGTCTTGCCGAGGACACTAGTCATGCGGACTATTTGATCCTCCCTCAGGCACCAACGCGTAAACGGCAAAAAAGGTGTATGACCTTTCAGCGGCGCGTCGAAGTGCTAGGATTAAGTTTAAGAAGAAATTTCACGAACGATTCATGAGAGGCATTTTTTGGAATAGCAGAGGTATAAGGGACTTGGCTAAGCGTAGGTTTTTGGCGGATGCATCTTGGGATTACAAACTTGATTTTATTGCGTTGCTAGAGACTGGTAGGGCGAATTTTGCTTCGCAGTTTCTTGGAACGATCTCAGGTGGTCTTGATTTTGATTGGCACTGTTTGCCACCTCGGGGAAGATCTGGCGGGATCCTCCTAGGTGTCAACTGCGAGTCTCTGGAGGTGCTTGATCTATTCTGGGGGGAATTCGCAGTTAAGTTCCATGTGCGGTCGAAAGCTGACGGGTTCAGGTGGGCTTTAGTGGCGGTGTATGGGGCGGCACGGCCTGAGCTAAAGTCGGACTTCCTCGTAGATTTAGTTAGGATTTGTGGGGATGATACCTTACCTATTCTCGTTGGTGGTGACTTTAACATTATTAGAAGGCGAGAAGAGAAAAATAATGACAATTTTGATGGCAGATGGTCATTCATGTTTAATGCGATTATTGAAAGCCTGGACCTGCGAGAGATTGATCTCACAGGCAGGCAATTTACTTGGGCAAATAATCTTCCAAATCCGACGTATGAAAAACTTGATAGAGTTCTCACAAGTATAGAATGGGAACAAAAATTCCCTCATGTGACGGTGCAAGTGTTACAAAGGGGAATATCTGATCATACACCCCTTCTTGTAGACTCTGGTGAGGCGGCTCACCATGGCAACAAGAATGTTTTCTCTTTCGAAACTGCGTGGTTTGAGAGAGAAGATTTCCTTAAGTTGATAGCAAGGGAATGGGCGGCGGAACAAAGGGGAGAGTCCAACATTGATCGGTGGCAGAATAAGATTAGACATCTTAGACAGTTCTTGCGAGGATGGGCTAAGAACAATAGCAGTGTCTATATAAAGGAGAAGGAAAGATTGTTAAAGATCATCAATGACCTAGACATAAAAGCTGAAAGCACTGCGCTGGTTATGGATGAGCAAGTGTCTAAAAGAGAAGCCGAGGTTATGCTGGCAAAGCTTCTTAGAGAGGAGGAATTGAAATGGGCACGTAGAGCGAAAGTGCGCCAGGTGGTTCAAGGAGGTAATAACACTCAATTTTTCCATATGATTACCAATGGGAAACATAGGAAGAAGAGAATCATTCAACTTGAACAAGATGAGGGTACGATTGTTGGTCATGAAAATCTTAAAATGTATATTACCAACTTTGGGGCCCCAGCTGAGAATTATGTCGCCCTCGATGAGAGCATGGTGGACGACATTCCTCAAATGAAAGATGAAGAAAACGAAGCGCTAACTGCACCTTTCTCTGAGAAGGAGGTGTTTGACGCAATATCCCAAATGGAAAATAATAAGGCACCTGGTCCGGATAGATTCCCAGCTGAGTTCTACAAGAAATGTTGGGGTATTATTAAAGGCAACTTGATGCCCATGTTCAATGATCTGTTTAATGGCCACCTTCAACTTTTTAAGCTTTACTTTGGGACTATCACGTTGTTACCAAAGAAGGCGGAAGTGATTCGCATTAAGCAATTCAGGCCGATATGTTTGCTCAATGTAAGCTTCAAAATTTTCACAAAGGTTGGCACAAACCGTCTGACGCAGATTGCTCATTCGGTGGTACAACCAACACAGACTGCCTTCATGCCAGGTCGACACATCCTCGAGCGAGTGGTCGTTCTTCACGAGACATTACACGAAATTCACTCGAAGAAGCTCGATGGAGTGGTCTTCAAAGTGGATTTTGAAAAGGCATACGATAAAGTGAAGTGGTCATTCTTACAGCAGGCCTTACGTATGAAAGGATTCGATGAGGCTTGGAGGAAGCAGGTCGAATCATTTGTACAAGGGGGTAGTGTCGGCATCAAAGTAAATGACGATATTGGTCAGTACTTCCAGACGTTAAAAGGACTGAGACAGGGAGACCCGATGTCTCCGATTCTCTTTAATGTCGTGGTTGACATGTTGGCCGTTCTTGTTAATAGAGCAAAACAGGACGGCCAAGTAGGTGGTCTTATCCCACATCTGGTTGAGGGTAGGTTGTCCATTCTTCAATATGCCGATGATACCATCATTTTCATGGAACATGACCTTGTTAAGGCCAGAAACATGAAGTTATTGCTTTGCCTGTTCGAACAACTATCAGGGTTGAAAATTAATTTTAATAAAAGTGAGCTGTTTTGCTTTGGACGCGCCAGAGAAGAACAAGCAACTTACAAGCAGTTATTTGGATGTGAAATAGGCACACTACCCTTCACGTACCTAGGGATTCCGATTCATCACCGTAAGCTCACTAATAAAGAATGGAAATGTATCGAGGATCGGTTTGAAAAGAGGCTGAGTTGCTGGAAGGGCAAACTCTTGTCTTATGGAGGAAGATTGGTGCTTATTAATTCTGTACTTACAAGTATGCCCATGTTTCTCATTTCTTTCTTTGAAGTCCCGGTTTGGGTACGGAAAAGATTGGACTTTTATCGATCTAGATTTTTCTGGGAAATTGACGAGAACAAAAATAAGTATCGTTTGGCAAAGTGGGATGTAATTTGTAGACCAAAGGACCAGGGAGGCTTGGGAATTGAAAACTTGGAGGTGAAAAATAGGTGCTTACTCAGCAAATGGCTATACCGGTTATCCATAGAAAGAGATGGAGTTTGGGCTCAACTATTGCATAACAAATATCTCTATGCCAAAACATTTGCCCAGGTTACGGCAAAAGCGACTGACTCACCATTCTGGAAAGGGATTATGAGGACGAAAGTGGCTTTCTTCAACAGGATTAAATTTATCGTCAGGAATGGATGAGATACTCAATTTTGGGAGGATACTTGGTTAGGAGATTCGCCACTGGCCTTACAGTATCCATCCCTATACAACATTGCGCAACGGAAAGAGGTTTCCGTTGCTCCAGTGTTGGATACTATTCCGCTCAACATACAGTTTAGACGGTCTGTTATTGGTGACCGTTGGACTAGGTGGATACATCTTGTGCGTAGGTTAATGGAGGTTAACCTTTCGGATGTACCAGACACTATGCAATGGAAGCTTTCCAGCTCAGGTGTCTTCTCGGTTAAATCCATGTACAAGGATTTGATTAATATCGGGACTATCCCGAGGACGGTTCATATTTGGAAAGTTAAGGTGCCCTTGAAGATAAAAGTTTTTATGTGGTTTGTGCATAAGGGTGTCATTCTTACTAAAGATAACTTAGTTAAGCGTAAGTGGGAAGGAAGTAAAAGATGTTGCTTTTGTGATCAGGATGAAACAATAGAACATCTATTTATCAATTGTCCACTTGCTAAACTGCTTTGGAGAACTATTCATGCTACATTTAACATAACTCCATCTCCCACGATATCACATTTGTTTGATAACTGGTTGGCTGGAGTGGAGCCAAAGTCCGCCGCACATATCCGAGTGGGAGCATGTGCATTACTTTGGTCTTTATAGAATTGTCGCAATGACGTTGCCTTTAACAGACAAACTATTACCAACTTTTTGCAGGTCATCTTCAGAGCGTCTACTTGGATCCGTACGTGGTCATTACTCAGTCGTGCAGACCACAGGGAGCATATGGATATTGGGTGCACGGGATACTTACAACCGGTTTGGATGGCGGTCCAATAATAGGATATATGTTTAGTCTCCTAGTCTTTCTGGCGCCGGTTGTGATTTTTATTTTTGGCCGCTTGTGGCTTTTCTTTGCTTAGCATGATCTTTGTTAATTTTGAGACCTCTATTTGAAACCTTTGAGATATTTTTTTTAATAAATGGCTGTGTGCATCAAGAGATGCAGAGGCCGGGGGTATTCCTCCTTTTAAAAAAAAAGGCTTCAGTGAGTACAAGATAGGTTGAGTCAGGAGGGATCAGAACAAAATAGCCCACAGCTTAGCGAGCCGAGCAAAGAGCTCTAGGGATTTCGTTCAAGTGGGTTCAGTGCCTGATGATGTGTTAGATAGCCTGGCTGATGATTGTAATGGTTTGGTCTAACCCTTTTGGGTAATGCTAAAAAAAAAACCATGAAAAGAGTACTGTATTTATCTTCGCCTAGTTAAAACTCATCATATATTTAGGGATATCTAGTCTAGTTATTATAGATAAGATTGGCATAAGATAAGATAGCCTTATCAACAATTGTACGCGTCCTTAATTTCTCGGTCGCTCTCACACGCAGGTACCGTACGGCGCGCGTTATCCAGCTCCGGCGCGACGGTCCGTCGAACACGGAACGTCGGTTTTCAGAGGAGCTGCACCTGCATGCATGCATGCACGCGGTTGGCGGGACAACGTGTGGTGTGGGGCCCACACGTCAGCGCCGGATACCCGTCGCGCGGAACGATTCTCTTCCGCAACAGAATCCCCCGATACTGGATGGCAGGTCGTTATAACTTTTTTTCTTTTGAGAACGGCAGGTTGTTATTACTGGGGGAACGGGATCCCATATATATGCGCTCTCCCGCCGCGTGTGGTGGCTGGCTAGCTTCATTCCCTCGGGAATATACGGCGGCACTTGACTAGTATCTATCCATCCATCTCCTCTGACATACCTCGAGAGATCCCGTTCGCCGGAGCGGAGAGATCCGATCGGATCGGATCGGATCGGGTCGCGTCGCCATGGCCATGAACACGAGCAAGGCGGCGACGTCGGACAAGGGGCTGCAGGACATCGACGACTGGCTGCCCATCACCTCCTCCCGGAACGCCAAGTGGTGGTACTCGGCCTTCCACAATGTCACCGCCATGGTCGGCGCCGGCGTCCTCAGCCTGCCCTACGCCATGTCCGAGCTCGGATGGTACGCGCCCGCTCAGTCTCTCTTCTGCCATCTCTCGCTCCTGCTTGCTTACCATCAGATTGGATTTCGCCGCCTCCTCGATCGTACGTTCACTCGTTTAGATTAGATTGGATTCCTTTTCTAGATTAGCCTACCCCAGCCCGTGCATGGGTCAGCCGGCGTTCATGATCCGATTTATTTTGCCATGTCAAGATCCAACAGACTAGGCGGTGACCTGAGGTTTATAGTGAGGTTTTCAGATTGGAAACCATGTTGGCATCGCAATTACCACCACACATTATTTTCGAATCTGGGATAATATATCGGGAATTGAGATAAATTATGTGTCCGCGAATGCTGTTCTTTTTTTGTACTACGTGTGCATGCATTCATATACTGTTTTTATGATTCCTTTTCACAGGGGTCCTGGCGTGGCGGCGATGATCCTGTCGTGGGCGATCACCCTGTACACGCTGTGGCAGATGGTGGAGATGCACGAGTGCGTGCCCGGCAAGCGCTTCGACCGGTACCACGAGCTGGGCCAGCACGCCTTCGGCCAGAAGCTGGGCCTCTGGATCGTCGTCCCGCAGCAGCTCGTCGTCGAGGTCGGCGTCTGCATCGTCTACATGGTCACCGGCGGCAAGTCGCTCAAGAAGGTGCACGACCTGCTCCGCCCGGAGCACAGCCACCCCATCCGCACCAGCTACTTCATCTGCATCTTCGGCTCCGCCCACTTCCTCCTCTCCCAGCTCCCCAACTTCAACTCCATCACCGGCGTCTCCCTCGCTGCCGCCGTCATGTCGCTCAGCTACTCCACCATCGCCTGGGCGGCCTCGCTGCACCACGCCGGCAAGGCCGGGCCCGGCCACGTGGTCGACTACAGCATGACGGCGTCCACCACCCCCGGGAGGACCTTCAACTTCCTGAGCGCGCTCGGGGACGTGGCGTTCGCCTACGCCGGCCACAACGTGGTGCTGGAGATCCAGGCCACCATACCCTCCACGCCCGAGAAGCCGTCCAAGAAGCCCATGTGGCGGGGCGTCGTCCTGGCCTACATCGTCGTCGCCATCTGCTACCTCCCCGTCGCCTTCCTTGGCTACTACGTCTTTGGCAACGCCGTCGATGACAACATCCTCATCACCCTCGAGAGGCCCCGCTGGCTCATCGCCGCCGCCAACATGTTCGTCGTCATCCACGTCATCGGCAGCTACCAGGTTACCTCCTCGTCATCTAACGTCGCCTCTCTTTTGCCACTAGAAAATATACTAACCGCGCTTTGTGCATGGCACGCGTGGAGTGGCAGATCTATGCGATGCCGGTCTTCGACATGCTCGAGACCTTCCTGGTGAAGAAGCTGAGGTTCAAGCCCGGGTGGCCTCTTCGTCTCATCGCACGCTCGCTCTACGTTGGTACGTCAAGCATCTATACCCACATATCTTTTTGTTACACAAACTTTAAAGGAATGTACTTACTGAAGATTTACTCTAATGATATGATCTGTTCGTTCAGCATTCACCATGATCGTTGGCATCGCCATCCCCTTTTTCGGTGGGCTACTAGGGTTCTTTGGTGGTTTTGCATTTGCCCCAACAACCTACTTCGTAAGATTCAACCTAAACTTTTCTCTCTACTTCTTTTAATTAGTTTAGGGAACTATATACTACTTTTACTAGTTAGTTTCATCTATAGAAGTAAATCACATGATGAACCAGTTTGTTTCCTTAATTAATAACTGGATGGACTATAACTTCTTTGTATATATACAGCTTCCCTGCATTATGTGGCTGGCAATCAAGAAGCCAGTGAGGTTCAGCATGTCGTGGTGCATCAACTGGGTAAGTTTTCTCTAGTCTTTTCTTCTTTGCATAATCTGCCGCTGAATTCTCTAGATGATATCATCACAATCATAGAAACTCATAACTTGCTCAAAATCATCGGTGTCAGATCTGCATAATCATCGGCGTGCTTCTGTCCGTTTTGGCGCCCATCGGAGGCCTCCGTTCCATCATCATCAACTACAAGACGTACCAATTCTTCTCATGATCTGCTGGAAACGTGCATGCAGCAGTCCAGCTAGCTACTTAGATGCAGCGTATTATATGCATAGTGTGCGTTACCTTGTCATGTTTAAATTAGGCCAAAGAAATATTCGTGTGTTTGTGGATGTTGCTCGATCAGTTTGTGATAATTAAAGAGGATCAATGCCTAAATGGAGGTTCTCTCTTTAGATATTTGTGGGAATGTCAGTTTGGTAACCTACGGTCGGTCTTTTCAGCCGCCCGGGCTGCATGTTGATGCCCCAAGGTTTTTTGTCTAGATAAAGAAACAGAAACACAAAAATGTGTAAACTGAAGGTGTCGATGGTGTAATTTCAGTTATACAGAACGAAATAACGCAAAATACAGTAGAAGTGTAAGTGATTAACAAAGATGTAAGAATGGATGGATGAAAAGATGCCACAAATAAAATACATATATAAGGTTCAAAGATGAAAACCACACAGTTTTTAGATAAAAATACCTTGATGATGTTAAGCATTTCTAAAATCCTAAAATGATTACAATGTTGGTTCAAAACCGAGAACTCCACCTTGTTCAGCCATTCATGAGTTGCAACAATAAGGTGTCTTTTAGCGGGATTTTCTTATCCAATATATCCAAAAAATGGATCAGATTCTATCTAGAGATAACGGAACAAAAACAACAGAAAAAGCTCATGGTGCAACATACAATAAAAAGACTAAAACAAGGATGCCACGACGGGGGTGGGGTGGCAATATAGGGTGGAGAGCACCGGCCGATGCACAGAGTGGGTGTGGGGAGGTCGACGGATTCGGGTTCAAAGGGGAAGGAGATGCAGCAAGGGAACCCTGTTAACAGTGCCGACGGCCAATCACAGAGGGACTCCGACAGTGACGGAGAGGACCAGTGCATGAACTGTGTGGCGGAGTGGAAGCAACAGAAAAGGCTCGATTTATAAATTCCTTGGATTTGAGTACATTGCTTGCAAGGGTTGTTCTTCACATAACTTTTCCCTAATTTATGTGCTTGAACCTAACACTGCCGAAAGTGTTGTTCTAATCATTCATGTAATTTTTTTTGATTTTTTTGTGTGAAACTTTGACAAGCATTTTGATATCTTGCAAACTTTCATCACGATGTGATGTTCGTGGAAGACGTGGCAAAAAAACTTGATGCTCCAAAATGCGAGTGAAATAACATTTTGGAGTATCGACTTTGTTTTTTCTTTGCCACATTTTCCATGAATTTCATCTGGTGATGAAATTTTGCAAGCTATTAAAACATTTTCAATGTTTCACATAAAAAATCAGACTGTTTTGATTTTTGTCATTCTTTTTTATTTTTACAATTCACACGACCTCACATGAGCTCGGGATCACAACAGCCGGCTCGGGGTTGCACTTACGATGTAGTAGGGGCGCACGCTGTCCAGCGCGCGGCACCAGCGGCTATACAAGTCGACAACCGTGGCCAGGTCAAAGACGAAGGTGCCCTGCTCCTCGGTGCCGGCGATGGAGCGCACGACGCCGGCGACGGCGTCCTTCTCCCTGCGCTTGAACACGCGCAGCTTCCGGCCCTTCACCGGGGGCCGCCGGCACCGACTGCATTTTGCTGCCTCCGACCATGTAATAGACCCTAGCATTTTGCAGTGGAGACCCTAAAGCTTTTGTTTCATCACAAACAAGTTTGCATTGGAGAGCCTAAGGCTTTTGTTTCATCACAAACAAGTTTGCATTGGAGACCCTAAGGCTTTTGTTTCATCACAAACAAGTCGGGAGGATTTTGACTAGAAATTTTGGCAGCATAACACGTTGGTGGGGAAGCATCCAAATCAATAAGAATGATGATGTGCTATTCATTTCAAAATTCCTTCCAAGTCAGTTAGTACAGTGGATGAACCTTGACCCATTCCATCCTACCAAATCATTTACACATACTGCGGGCATCAACAGTGTATAGAGGCAACCCAGCCTCTAAGCTGGGTCCCACATATGAGCCTCTAACCTTAGCGTCTGAAGCTGCAGTGTGTTTACAAGACTGTTGCCTCTAACGTGGATCCTCTTTCAATTAAAAACAATAGAGCAGTACATACAACACCAGCTGACCAGTGGGTCCGGACCTTTACTTTTGAGCTTGGAGGCAGCCTCTTACGCTAGCATCGATGCTAGTGTTTTTGGGTTAGAGGCAGCAACACACAGTATGTAGAGGCAGCTGCTACACGCTTGGAGGCGGGCTTAGAGGCAGAAATATCACACACTGTGGATGCTCTAACAAGCTAATCCAACACCATCACAAACTAAAAAAAAAGCTCTGACAACTTCCACTACTCATCGTTATCCCTTCTATGCTTGTGTTGTCACTAGTAGAAAAGAGGGCAAAGGTCCAGGCCGGGTCAGCCCATTAGTCCCGGTTCAGTCCAGAATCGGGACCAATGGGGGCATTGGACCCGGTTCGTGATCTCAGGGGGCTGGCCGGGCCACGTGGGCCATTGGTCCTGGTTCGTCTGGACCTTTTGGTCCCGGTTGGTGGGACGAACCGGGACCAATGGGCCTCGCTCCTGGCCCACCACCATTGGTCCCGGTTGGTGGCTTGAACCGGGACCAAAGGCTCCCCTTTAGTCCCGGTTCATGCCACCAACCGGGACCAATGAGGTGCCTATATATACCCCCTCGCGTAAGAGCTGAGCACACTGCTCTGTTTTTTCTGGCTGAGGGGGAGAGGGCTTGGTGGTGCTCTAGCTCACCTCCTATGCACACAAGGTGTTCGATGGAATACCCGAGCCACACTACTTAAGCTTTCTCCTCTCCAAGCTCGACTTCCAAGCTCCATTTTCCTCAATATTTGTCTAGGTTTAGCGGTCTGTCACGCCCCGTCCCCGTCTTCACCGCCGTCGATCACCCGCGCCGAGCTCATCGCCGGCACCACCGTGGTGAGCCTCTTGTTCTTATCTTCTTTCTGAAAGGAAAAAATATTCTTACTTGTATGTTTATATAGATACTTGTATTATTTTCTTACTTTTATTATTTCATCTTATATAGTGCGATGGTTTTGGTATCCGCCCCCGTCGGCCCTCGTCTTGTCTATGATTCGGATGTGGTACATATATTATCTTTATAACTATTGGTTCATTTATTGTTTATGAAAATTATGCCGACCAACGTGAGATAGATTTTATTTATCTAGGATGTATGTGAACCGGAAATTCCAACCGACCCTATTGTCGAGAGGTTAAATTTAGTTGAAGAAGAAAACAATTTCTTGAAGGAAAAAATAAAAAAATTAAGGAGGAGAAGATGATATTGGAGTTGCATGTTGCAGATGTCGTCGATGATCACAAGATCAAGATGGATGCAATGCGCTTGAAGATCAGAAAGATTAGAAAATACGACATTCATACCGAGGCTTGGTATCATTATGTCGTTGGATCAATTGTTACCTTGGTTGCGATTATGATCGCATTTGTTTTCGCATTAAAATGTTTTACATAGTTTTAATGTATGGTTTAATTAATTAGATGCTCTGGAGAGCTATATGTTGTTAGATGAGAACTATGTATGTACTTTGGTTTTAATGTGATGATGAACTTCTATTAATTTGGACACTTAATTATATATAATGCACACAGATGAACCGGCAATGGATGTACGGTGACAGACACACCTCCGAGTACATTAAGGGCGTGCATGAGTTTCTCGATGCGGCTGAGGCAAACAAGCAGAATGGTTTTATGTGTTGTCCATGCACTGAATGTGGGAATACGATGTCTTACTCTAACCGGAAAATCCTTCACTCCCACTTGCTTTACAAGGGTTTCATGTCACACTATAATATTTGGACGAGGCACGGAGATATAGGGGTTATGATGGAAGACGGCGAAGAAGAAGAGTACGATGGCAACTATGTGCCCCCTGAATACGGTGATGCTGCAACGGGGGGAGCTGGTGAAGATCAAGAGGAACCAGACGATGTGCCCAATGATGCTGCAACGGGTGAAGCTGCTGAAGATCAAGAGGAACCAGACGATGTCCCCGATGATGATGATCTCCACCGGGTCATTGTCGATGCAAGGACGCAATGCGAAAGTCAAAAGGAGAAGCTGAAGTTCGATCGCATGTTAGAGGATCACAAAAAAGGGTTGTACCCCAATTGCGAAGATGGCAACACAAAGCTCGGTACCGTAGTGGAATTGCTGCAGTGGAAGGCAGAGAATGCTGTGCTTGACAAAGGATTTGAGAAGCTACTGAAAATATTGAAGAAGAAGCTTCCAAAGGATAACGAATTGCCCGACAGTACATACGCAGCAAAGAAGGTCGTATGCCCTCTAGGATTGGAGGTGGAGAAGACACATGCATGCCCTAATGACTGCATCCTCTACCGCGGTGCATACAAGGATTTGAACGCATGCCCGGTATGCGGTGCATTGCGGTATAAGATCAGACGAGATGGCCCTGGTGATGTTGATGGCGAGCCCCCCAGGAAGAGGGTTCCTACGAAGGTGATGTGGTATGCTCCTATAATACCACGGTTGAAACGTCTGTTCAGAAACGGAGAGCATGCCAAGTTGATGCATGGCACAGTGAGGACGTAAGAAAGACGGGAAGTTGAGAGCACCCGCTGACGGGCCGCAGTGGAGAAAAATCGAGAGAAAGTATTGGGATGAGTTTGCAAAGGACCCAAGTAACGTATGGTTTGCTTTAAGTGCGAATGGCATTAATCCTTTCGGGGAGCAGAGCAGCAATCAAAACATCTGGCCCGTGACTCTATGTATGTATAACCTTCCTCCTTGGATGTGCATGAAGCGGAAGTTCATTATGATGTCAGTTCTCATCCAAGGCCCTAAGCAACCCGGCAACGACATTGATGTGTACCTAAGGCCATTAGTTGAAGAACTTTTACAGTTGTGGAATGGAAACGGTGTACGTACGTGGGATGAGCACAGACAGGAGGAATTTAACCTAAAGGCGTTGCTGTTCGTGACCATCAACGATTGGCCCGCTCTCAGTAACCTTTCAGGACAGACAA